GCATACATCATTACCTGTTTGATGGAGGCAGACACACGGTTCAAGCTGGCTGTTATTTTCCTGAAATTATTATTATTATTAGGGGGGAAAAAAATTAATACAGGATAAACACATATCCTACGTTGGACACACTGGATAATCCACCCCCTGCCTGGATGACAAATTAAGCTTTTGTATAGCGCAGGTGTCTGATTTTCACTACCTTGTATCTTAAAAAAACATAATAATATTAAAATTTTAAAAATAATAGTAATAATAAAAATAAAAGCAATACGGAATAACTGACTAAATTATTATTATTATTATTATTATTATTATTATTATTATTATTATTTATTGTTATTATTATTAGTAGTAGTAGTAGTTGTTGTTGTTGTAGTATTATTTTTATTTTTATTATTATTATTATTATTTTGTTTTTTACTATTTTTTTTACTTTTTTTTATAGATTTTTATTATGATTACAAAAAACATGACTCTGTTATCATGATTTTCAGCTATTAAGCATGATTCAAACCCTTCACCAGTGTTTTTTGCACACGCTCATTTCCTGTTTTGATTCCTGGCTCTTTTAACCTGTGTGGTGTAAAACCGTTATTCACCTGCACCAAAAGAAAGAAAAAAAACCTCTGTTATCCATCCTTCTTCTCCATGAGAGCAGAACTGTAAACAGAATAGTACAATACAGAACATTATACTGCTGATCATCAGGGTGCCAACAATAGAGCAAAACAGACATAAATGTGCCGGCGTAATGTGAGACAGATTCAAGAGCACCGATTTCTGACTGTGTGTACCAAGAACCATTTCCTGAGGAGAAGAGAGCTGTGGGCTTCCACTGGGTTGAATAAATAATACTGGATAAACTGGGGGGACTGGTACAGTTTAGCTTGTTATCTCAGTTTCTGTCCTGTCCATCAGTGAAAGTAAAACAACAACAAATCTCTCACAGTGTTTTCTCACATTTGTCAAACACAAAGCTCTTTCAGTTCAAAATACATCAGAAACAGGTAGTATTACACATAACTGTGAAGTTTAAGAAGCTCCAAAAGTGTGTATAATTATTTTAAAAGGTTGTAGGAAACGGGGACAATGTTCTCTTTAGATATAATCCTGGCTGCAGTATTTCTAACACAATTACAAAGGCAACAACCGTGGCGGCTTCTCCAAGTCAATAATAAAATACATATTTTATGATGTATAAAGACGCAGAATCCTGCAGCAAGTTGCATTATGAGATGTAAACATATCCAGGCAAATATAGCCACAGGGGAGGAAAAGACAAAAAGGGAACATGTTCTGTGCCCCGGTTTGGTGTTTGGTTCCCCAGGAGCCTTTTGTCCGACTCTGGAACACTAAACCAGCAGCTCTCCCAGCCTCTAGTGCCTCATTATACTTCTTACAAGGAGACATTTTGACATGCTATAGCAGGAAACCGTAAGGAAAAATAACGTTACCATTAAATCCACTCTATTTATGTCAGTCATGTTTGAGGTCCCTGTATAGCACTCGCTGCACTCTGCTGACTGCCACACAGTAGGTTATTGCATGGCACAGTTGTTTTGTATTTTGACGAGTTAAAACTGTTCTGCATGAGTCGAGGCTTTTTAAAGGGTTTTTGTGGAGTCAGAGTGGGAGAAGAAGAGGTACAACATGAAGGGCTCTGTTGTCCCAGTCAGACATGGTGGACTGGCTGCCAAAGTCTGTGTGTACACATGTTTTAAACATACTCAGTATTGGTGAAAATTAGGGCTGGGCGATATGGGAAAAGTTTAGCACGATATATATTTTTTTCATATCAGTTGATATCGATATATATCATGATATAAAAAAAAATATTTTATATATATAGGAAGATATTAATGATTCATAACAATAAAAAATCATCAAAATTATAAAAAGGCACATTTTTCGAAAACAGCTGTTGTAGTATGAAGAGTCCCTCGGTGTGTTTGGTGATTTTGGGGTCTCTACTGTATCACAGAGGCGCTATTGATTTTTTTTTGCAGCGTCTTGCTCTTGTATCGTAATAAACCTGGCATGTACCTGGCATCCATCGTTTGAAATTACCGTTTGCCGCTCGCTGATTCGTCTTTTTCTTCTTCTGCTTCTTCTTCTTCTTCTTCTCCTTCTCCGGCAGGATGTCAAGGAGGTCTTCAAGCCCTGTCAATATCATATTAATTTTCGAGATATATCATTGTCGTTTTATCTCCCAGCCCTAGTGTAAATACTGTAAGATTTGGTCTTATACCTATTTTGGCATCTAAAATGTGAGTCTTGTTGATTTGGTTGAAGGCAGTTGGTTTGTAGGAACCTCACAATCAATTTCAGTCTGCTTCATTACCCTCGTAAAACTCTTCACAGGAGCTTTAAGCAGCCTGGATATGCTAATCAGAACAAAATTAAGGATAAACTAAAATGTTTCCAGTTCACAGTGGCTCCACATTAACTGTCTTTAACACCTTGCCGTGTCTTTTGGGGGCCTCATCGTTTGATTGATCCGGGCCGCGAAGACTAAGTGTAACTTAATTGATGTTCTAATTACTGACAATGACTTCAGCTCCATTTCTGTAATCTTGCATCAGGAAACCACACTGAATGCTCCCCAAACACGAACTGCAGGCCGGGCTCCAACAATCGCAGATACAAATTGGCTATTAGACAGTGTGCTCTCTGAAATACATGGCTATCATTCTGCTCCACGGATCTTGACAGCCCAATTCCATATATTCTGTTCACTGTGTGCACAGACATACTGTTGTCAAAACAGCCAAGCTCCGGCTATAAAGCAAAGCTATAGTTTGATGTATGACCTGGAGACATGGGTCAGTTGAGGTACCAGTGAATAAAATTTAAGTTTGTAATGCATGAAATTTGTGGAGTGTGGGATCCGATAGCCTGTTCAAACACATTATTTTTCAGTCCTATTAGGAGAGCTACGGTAAGATCAGCTGATCAGAGCCACATATCTGAAATGAGGAGACGCAGTCCAGCACCAGGAGGATCTTTGTATCAGGCATCTGTCAGATATTAACTCAAAAAGCTAGATGTTGCTGATTTAATTTTGAACCGCTGTACCTTCAGCAGCTCATGCTACTTCAGCACCCTACGAACTATCATGCAGCCACGGGTGGAGAGAGGAGAGTCCATAATGGAGAGTCTAATAGAGAGTCTGTGTCTATTTATTTTCATTTATTCTTTCTTTTTTTTGTTTGGAAAGAGCTCGGAGTGATTAAGGGTCAATCCCTCCCCCTTGGTTTACCCCTTCCTCTTGGCCCTCTGTTTTCAGGACTTGGGGGTAGGGATGAAAACACGCTGCTAAGAAAAGAGATGCCTCTTGATTCCCGCCATGCCTTGCCACTTGCTTGCTGGTAAACGAGTTGAAATAACACCTACTGTTGTAATGTTTAGCCATTGCTAGCTGTCCTTTACTACGCTGCTGCCACGCTCCAAATACGCCTCCTGTATGCGATACCTAATGCTGCTCTATAGCAAATACGGAACACGCTCAATGCGAATCCTGTATGTTTTGATATTACTATTTTTGTTTATGGTGTAAATACTTGTATATTATCTCTATATTTTTACTTATTTTACTTATTTTATCTGTTTATCTCTTGATTTTACTTATTTTATCTATTATTTATCTCCTCTTTTTACTGTATTTGCACCGGAGTACTGTGACAAAAGATGATTCTGATTCTGTATGTTTTCGGCTTAAGTGCTAACATCGTTAAGAAACATCATGGTTTTGCAACCTTTGATCAAAGTTCAGTGCAGATTTCAACTCTTTCTCTCTTGTCTTTTTCTTCTTCAAATCATATTGCAAATTTGGGGCAATGAAAGTTGAGCTTGATGAAATATTTATTCTTGGTGAGATACTGTGTTTAATTTTGAAAGATGACATCATCTGGTACCACATGCATTTTATTTAACCAGGATACATCAGATCTAAAAAAAAAAATATCCATGTTATCCTGCTTTAACAGCTCTTTGTATGTCCTGGTTTTCATGTTTCTGTTGCTGCTGTCAGGTAGATGAAAGTGAGACAATGAGCCATGCTGGGTTGACAATGATCTTAAGAAGAAATAAAATGTTAAAGACTGGTGCGGGGTAAAATGAACCACCACGGGTTCATTCAAAAGAAGCCTCATCCATTTGGAAAAGGCAGAGCTGCACAATCTTCATTCATAATATGAAACCTAATGCCTCCTAATGGATGTGGGGGGATTTTGCATTAGGAGGAAGACGGTAGAGTTGTTGTTGAAGGATTGACTCAACTATTGTTAAAGTTGGAAAATATGCCGCCGAGTAAAGAAAGTCATCATTTTTGGCTTATTGTGCCAAACTTTCAGCTCAACAGATGTTTGGAGCAGACTTCATTGAGATTTGAAACCCACAGAGGTGCAACAAAGAAATCAATCATTTACCAACAACAAAATCTGCAACATCTCAAACACATTTAATCTGCCCGTCTCACAGAAAAACAGATGGAAACATTAAAAACACAAATTGAAATTATGTCACCATCTGTAACTTTGCTGATCTTAATTTTTAAATCCACATCAGAGACCAGGATTAGGGAAGTTATATGGAGCAGACTGACCATCATCTTCTCTTGACCTCTTTAATTGTGTTGCCTGCAAAGGAGACAGTTAACCTCCAGCTCCTTTATTGAAATTGGGAAGTTCCCTGTTGTCGTTGTATGTGTGTTACACTCTTTACCCCAGGCAAGTACTGATGATAACAATATACTTTCTACAAGGTTTCTGCCTGTTAAAAGGAAGTTTTTTCATGTTAGATGAGATGGGCCAAATCCCATCTTAGGTTGGGTCTTGATTATCAATCAAACAATGAGCGTTGTCTAGACCGGCTCTTTTTCTTTGGAAAGCGTCTTGGGATGACGGCTGATGTGAATTGACGCAATATAAATAAAGTTTGATTGATTGATTGATTGACAAGTTAATGGGAAAATCATGTAAAATTGAGTTAGAAAGACTGATCAGAAATTTGGGTCAAAGAGTTTGATTCGCAGTGAAACAGCTCATCTGATTCAGTCACGTCACCCATCGGTTTTGGTGTCTGTCTAGTAGGGCTGGGTGTATAAGTTTATCATGATATATTTTTTTTCATATCAGTCTATATCGATATATATAACGATATAAAAAATCACATTTAACAGCGCTGATTAGCTATTGATAAGCTATTGCATCTGTGAGGTCTTTGTGTCTCTTTGACGTTTTGTTGTAAGGTGTCGCACTTGAGACATGGCAGAATGCCTGTTAGAAAGCCCATGTTCAGGTGTTTTCAAGTAAATACTTTTTCAGTATTTACTAACTGTTCAGACAGTTTGTGAATTTCCTCGAACCTGTTTTTACCCAATATTCACCTTTACATCCTGGGTTTATTGTGTGTAAATGCCAGAAGTGAGTTTTATGATACTTCACTGTCCAAGTTGGATGCTATATTGTGTGAATGTATTGTTTACCGTGAAGATGGCTAATGCGGTCTCATGCTACTCGATGTACATGTTATGTATGGTGTGAGCTGTACTCATTGTTCCTTTATATCGTTTTCTGCCGAACTACAGTCAAATAAATCCACCACTAAACTGGACATCTGTATCCATGTCTTTTAACAGGGACACACCCTTTCCTCCTTTTTAGTGCAGACTAACGAAGAAGCAGATTGACCATGGTTTATATCGACATTGAGGGAAATTAATTTTTGATATATATTATCGTTTTATCGCCCAGCACTACAGTCTAGGTTGGGCGCTAGATTGGAAATGCTGACCCTAGCTTTCAGTCGACCATAGCTCCCTCTCTGACAGCTTTAGTATGCGTGCCTGTCTGTGAAATCAACCATGGCTCTCACACTCATGAGCTTCATATCTTAAACTCATTAAAGCTCCTGTCAGGAACTTTCAGTCTTTGTTTTGGCACCCCTTGTGGACAAAGCAGTTTTGACTCATCATGCTTGAGTTAAAAATCTCTCACTGCCCACTTTTAAACAGACTTTAAAATATTATATTCCACTTCTATCAAGTCTTTTCTGCTATATGCTAGACTGCAGCTTTTAAAAACACTTTCTAGCTTGAGATAAATGGACAGATCAACTTAAAGTAGACGAACAACCAAAAGAGCAATACAAGATGTCGAGTAGCTTCCGGGTGTTTCTGCAGAACTTCCACTCTGCCACGACCTGATGTAAAGACAGACTACAAAAACGCAAAAGAGGCAATTAGAGTCACAAGAGTGTTACTATCCTGTTGGAGGGATAATAGTCACAGGAACAAAGCCGGACATAATCAAAGACTAGGCAGCTTGCTGAAAGTTGAATTGAAAAGAGTTCAGTCTGGATTTAAAGACTCAGACGGAGTCCAGCTGTCTGGTATCTGCGGGGTGGTTGTTTCAGATGATACTGTTAGTGATAGTCCAGAGTCTGGAGCCTGCTGCGTCTTTCTTAACTTAGATACCGCAAGAGGATCGCTGTATTCTGAGAGCTGCACAGAAAAGTCTGGATGAATATTAAAGTCTTAAGAGATAATTATGCTGTGTGACGCCTTTTTTAATGTTCTGAAACTTATCAAAAGTAACTTATGGTCCATACTGACATGGATAAGGAGTCAATGATGCCACCTTGTCAAAGACTATTACTGCAGGAATCCAGCTAACATCTCATCCTCTATTACAGGCATGGGATAAAAGGTTGGCCCAGCAGCTTGAGGGGCAAGGGGCAAGAGGCACTTCATAGAAGAAAGGCTGACCGCTCCAGGACAAAAACCTCTCTGAAAAACTCTCTAAGGTTAGCAGCGTTTTTCAAAACTTGTCTGAAACTGCTCAAGAGTCTGAGGAAACCTTTACTGAGGTTCTGAAACACTCAGGTAAATTCATCACAGACAGGAGTGATGATTTTCTTATCGTGGGACCACTTTTAACCTGTACAGGGGACTAATAACAGTTTATCATGTAAACAGCCACATGGTGTGGTTTTTGTGGCCTCTATCAGGTTTTAACATAAAAATAAGGATTTCAAGACCACCTCAGATAGATTAAAATATGCATTACACTCATTTACCTTGAGTCTAGTCTTTGTGAGCATGTGAGCATGGACACAAAGTAGGAACATGTTACAGCGGTGGCAGAAAGGGCAGACCAGATTTGGTGCACCAGAACACCGATAATCATTGAGGCAGTGTGGGAGTGTGAGGGAGGAAGAGAGGAGAGGGAAGCTTGTTGCTTCGCCTCTAAATTTCACATATGAGACAGGAATACTGATTGCCTCTTAACATTGGCGGTGCGTTGTTTTGCCTCAGTGCAGTTACTTAGTCCTAAAAGAGGAGTCCTATCATTAGGCGAAGACTTTAGCATGTTGACTGGCAGACACTGACAGGAAGGCAGCCCTCATTTGTGATTCTGAAGGCGTCTGTGTGGCCTAAGAAGCAAGCACAGCTGGGGAGTGACTCGAAAGCAGATTATCACTTTCATCCCCTCCAAAATCTTTGAAGCTATGCAACAGTAGGCACAGTCCTTGAACCAGGGACGCAAGAGGTAGCCCTAAAAATGAGAGAATCCAGTCTGCTTTGTATGCAGTCCAAGTATTCCTGTGAGGAAATGTAAATTCAGATGCACAAGTCGGCATCAATATTCAAGTCAATGCATTGTCAAAAGTGGGCGCATTTATGTAGATAATTGGTTTGCATCCCTCTCACTATATCTTAAAGCAAAATAAGAGTCAAAGAGGGAGATGGTGTTACCACTGCAGGGCTGATTCCTATTTTCTCATTTTTTACTTTTTAGTTGAACTTCCCTCACCTGGAAGAGGCCAGGCAATTAGGAACACGGTCAGGTTTTTCTTGAGCATTTCAGAGATGGAAATCAATGAGTTGAAAAAAAAAAAAAGTGTTTTAGGAGAAGAATAACAAAAGCACCATGAGAGCTGCAACACAGTGCAGGCATGACAGAAGTGAGAATCAAGCAGACAAGGGTTGGATGATTATCACCAAAATGACATAACAGTGATACTGATCATATTCAGATCATGATTATTGATAGATTTAGGGGTGTTCCTGGCTAAGATTACAAGTATATATGGAATTATAGGGATATTGTCGTAAATTTGGTGTGTTGGTCGATCTACCCTTACCTATGGTCATGAGCTGTAGCTAGTGATCCAAAGAAGATTGTGGGTCCAAGCGGTTGAAATGAGTTTCCTCCGCAGGATGGCTGGGCTCTCCCTTAGAGAGGAGGTGAGAAGATTGGTCCTCCGAGAGGGGTTCGGAGTAGAGCTGCTGCTCCTCCAGGTTAACAGGAGTCAGATGAGGTGGCTTGGGCACTTAACCGTAATGCCCCCTGGACGCCTCGATGGTGAGGTGTTCAGGGCATGTCCCATCAGTAGGTAGGTAGGAGACTGGGGTGAAGACCCAGGACACGCTGGAGAGACTAGCTGCGTTTATATGCAACATTTTCCTCAATACGATTGAAAAATAATCTTATTGAGTTAACCAGATGCAACTTGGATACAAAGCGATCCATGTTTAGTTCGTGTTTACATGGGCCCAACTGAATCCGATTAAATAGCTCCTACGACACCAATAATCTCGACATCGCGTGATTAACAGCCATCAAGTCTCTCAATAGTTTTGAGATCTTGTAGTGTTTCCATTAAAAAGTTAGTTTCCAGCACTGTCCAATTTTTCTGCTTGTTTTCCATAGTTGTGTTGTGGTCATAACTTTCGAGTTTCCGATGTCCCGTAAGCATCATTATATGATCGTACATACCTGGGTGCTTGCGTGGATCAAATAATCCAGTCTATCACCTGAATATGAACCACTCAGCCATTTATATGTGGCATCAGTCTATTGTCAATCGGCGTTGACTACCTCCTACAATCGGATCAGAAATTTAATAGGATCCGAGTGAATTAGATCCGTAAAGGTGTTTCCATGACACATTTTTAATCTGATTGAGCGTTTGATATGATTATAAGTAGAATTTTATGACCCACATTAACGCAGCTTATGTCTTGCCTCAGGAAGAGCTGGACAAAGTGGCCATGGAGAGGGAGGGAAGTGTGGGATAGATAGAGGGAAAAAAAAACACGATAGTATTGCCCAAATCAGTCTTTGTACGAATACAACAAAGTTGAGGCAAAAGCTTTTAGATTTGGTGCTTTTTTTAAAAAAGATTAAAAAACAAATCACAGTTTATAAATAAACCAAGTAAATTCACATAAAATACATGTGGCACAAGCAAGTGGTATATTAAAGAACATATTGGGTCATTTCTGAATGTACAGTATTCATTGCAGTAATCGCCCTGAGGTAGAAGCAGTTTTTTAGTCTGTTAGTTTTTGCCTTGATAGTCCTAAAGCACCTCCCAGAGGGCGACAGTTTAAGCAGCTGGTGTCCATCTGCTTGAACTGTACGCTTTTAGCTCTTCTGAGGCTGTGTGCATTTTTATCAGCCGTCCTTTGTTCATACTTGAGCCTTGGCATAGGTTGTTGGAAAACCAACATCAGATGACCACCAGAACACGGAGTTGCCTCAGTACTGTGTTAAAAAAAAAGAAAAAAATCAATCAAATGCCTCACAGCAGATCTTTTAAACAGAAAGACTCAGACTTTTGAATGATATAGGGTAATGCATTTCTTGAAATACTATTTTTATTTAACAATTGTAGATCATTGTGTGTGCCGCTAGCCGAGTTGTCTTCGATCCTGATCATTATTTGTGTTTGATTAACTGAGCAGCCCCACAACAAGTGTCAGCTTTAATGCCCCGTTATACACGACCTTGTAGATATTAGAATCATTAAACATTGCTATAACTCATGGATGAATCAGCATCATAAAATAGAGCTCTTTTTTTGTGCTGTTCCCTCATATTGATACACTGAAATAGCGAAATCCTAATGCCCACATTTGTCATGTTTTTCTCTTTGCAGAGCTGGAATAAATCAAAGAATTTGCAGATAGTTACTGGGGCTCTTCTAGCAGATCTATATTGGTTGTCCTGGTGGATGGAGCTTAATGAAACTTCATAGCCTCACTCTTACATGAGTAAATGAGAAATTAAGCATCAGAGACAGTTTCTCATTCCGGCCTAATTAAAGTTTTAATTGCTGCATGTCGAGTAACACAGCATCTCTTGGAAAAAGCAGACTCACCACTCACCACACCGCGAATTAGAGGGAGCAGAGAACACAAACACAAATAACACTCGGCATCTCTTCTGTGTAATTGGACCACGAATAGAAAACTCCTCCACATTTCTTTACCAAATGACAGGGGTGGGACGTCTGCTTTAAACACATACACACACCAACAGATAATATTTGATTTGTTGTGCGCCTGGTATTTTGTTAATTGTATGTGGTAGACATAACAGCGCAGAGATGAAACATACAGTAGGTGGACAAAAGACCTTGGAGGTTAATCCTATTGGTTTTGCCATCTCTAGGAATCTACATTTCACGCCGCGGAGTTGAGGTTAATGGCTGCTGGGTTTGCATGCCGTTCTCATTAGAGCCAGGTGTTGGGATTCAGCACACTCTTCCTCCCTTTCCTTCCTTGGCAGGGTGTATATGCTGTGTACCTCTAAGACCTAACAGTGGTTTGCTACATTTTCTCTCATCCTGAGCCCAGTGGACGCCTGTGGTGACAATAATTGAAGGCTCTCAGATCTTTTTCGATCACTCAGCCCCTGTGTCCTGCAGTTAGTGGTCATCTTTTGGAGGAGAAAACGCACCGGCTCGTTCATGTTTTACATAAGTATGGCTGTGAACCCGTGGCCCACATTGCAGGGTGCCCAAGTTAAAAGGAGTTCGCTGGAAAGTTTTGTCACATTTTGGCTCTTTGTGATTCAGTAAATGTAGATGCGTCGCCGATTTATTCTGAGAAAGGCGGATGACAACAAGGACACATTTCAAGTAGCGTCCTCAGTGCCACATGGCAATTTAACAGCTGAATCTTGATTCCAGTGCAGCCTTGGAGGAGGCATGTGTTGGAGCTACTGAACAGACTCTTTCCTGAGACTAATTTACACATCAAAATAGTTTTTTTTCAACCTCTAATCTGGGTTATATTTACACAACTAGGAGTATTTAGTGACACTAACATCTCTTTATGACACCAAACTATGGCTGATAATGTAGGAAATTTACACACTGGGAGATACTACATAAATAAAGGAGTTACGTATTCATATTAGTATTTCTTAATAAGACTTTTGCGTCATTACTGGTTTACTTTGACCAGCTAAGCTTAGTCCTCAACTCTTTGAGCTGTGTTGCCAGTTTTTGGGGAGAAAATCTTGAATGTAAACTCTACCCCTCCCAACCAGTTTTCCCCTTAGTTCCTCCTCTCAGCGAGCCCCGCCCACAAACAGACGCTCCTGCTCGCTCATATCGTTCCGTTAAATTCAGATATAATGCAGATAAATACTTAAGATAATTACAAATGGGGCCCAGTCAACATGAAAGTAAAAAGCAATGGTGCTACTGTAGATGCCAACAGACTACCAGCAAACACAATGTTTTCAGGACTTCTACAAGTAGGATAAAGTGACATAGTCCAGGACCCGAGGTCAACAGTTTAGCTACAACACGCAACAGGTCCCGTTTGACAAGAAACACTTCTGTTACAGACACTTGGCTTACTTTGTTAAAGTGGTGTACCTGTCCAGAAGAAAGGTTACAGGGTCCGTAAGATCTCAAAGTGTCCCCCATCGTTTGCGCTTCATTGATGTTGACCCGGCTTCTCAGCTCTTGCCCGGCTTTTTAAGCGCCTGTTATTCCGCCAGAGTCTCTGGTATTTACTTTGTTTTCTTGCTTGTGTCGGCAGTCGTGGCCAAAGGAGGATTCAGACAGTTTTCCGTACTTTCTGGTTGGTTTCTACTGTCCGATATTGTAGCACGCTAACTTTGTTTGGGCTCGTGAACGACACGAGGGAGCAGTGTCTGCCTCACAACCAATCAGGTTGTGGGAGGCAGAGAATACGGCTTTGTTTACAGTCAGAAAGAGCGGGCCGCTCAAAAAATTCAAAATGTTGACTACACAGACATAACAAAACACAGCGATATCGTTATATTACCAAATGTCATCAATAACTCAATAACTAGTAGCTATTGACAGAAGTTAAAAGCTTTTTTGTATATACACCACAAAAAAAGATGCTTCTTTAACAGATTCCTGCCTACCCCACCTTTAATCAAGCACGTTCTCTTTTCAATATTTTATATTTTTTCTGGATGAAGATTTGGTCTGTAAAGTGCACATTAATGCATTGTAATATGGCTGTATTAATACCGGTTCAAGTAGACGTGATCAGTGGGTGTAAAAGGTTGTAAATATGTTCACTTGGTGCCATCCCCAGGAAAGTCCAATCCTCCGTTTGGTCAAAGAAGTCTGGACACGTCTCTGTTAACCGTACGCTTTTCGTATGTTTGTATATTTTTTCTCTCTTTCCATTGGGTTTCCAACAAAAGCAGAAATTTTTGCAATGCTCCACTTGTAAATCACTTTGTTGATAACAAAAAAAAGGTTTTTGCCAGCAGCAGAATTGCACACCCAGTGCAACAAAACAAGGTGAGTAAAAGGACAAAAAAAGCAGCATCTCCACACAGACAAAGTCAACAAAACAAAAAGAGGGAACAAGGTTTCATATTAAATATTTAGACACAATTATGGGTCAACCAGATCAGGTAATGTATTCCTTGAAATATTAAGAACCAAATATACAGCAGACCTTCTGTCCAAGCTGGAGGGGAACAGTCCAGCCTCTGTCCAACAACATAAAAATATATAGATGCATATATGTTTACATTTCTGTGCTTCTGTTTGAGTGAGTCTGGTTAAGAAGAGCACAAATGTAAAAAAGTGTGCACTATTTTCATTGCACCTTTCCCTATTCCACCATGTGTTACCGTACTCTGCTCCATCTCCATTACAGATTTCACATCCCTTAATGAGGTGGTTTGCAAAGAGCAAATTTTTCTGTAAATCGTCACCAAAGCATCTTTCTATACAGTCTTCACTTCAACCCCTAAGGACAACTTTAACTTTTCTTTTTGGTACATCCACATACAGCGGCTGTCCTCATCAAACATGAAAAAACTAAGCTTTTAAACAGCGGTATGACCCTTGAATCCAACAGACACTAAGATCCCAAGAGTTCAAACCAAGTACCAAAAACTGCAGGTCCATGTGAGGCTGTCTTGAAGTCTAGATTGTTGACAAATTTCCCTGAGACCAGAGTGACGAGAAGCCTGGTGACTGTAAGTTACCTGGTGGTTCATGCCGACCATCCCTTGGTTTCTCACCGAGGATTTTAACCAACAGTGGGTCTGCTCTGCTCCATAAACTCCAACCTATGAACCTTGAGATTAACAGCTGTTGTCAGCCACCACCATGAATCAAATCTCATGTTCTGAGAAACACGTTTGAAGTCCGGCTGTTAGCATCTATTAAACAGCCATGGGTATAGATGTGCAGTTTCTCTCCGGCTCTGCTCCTTACTCTGAATATGAAACTCAACATGGATGCAGCTTCATGAAGATCCAGGGCCTCATTTATGCAGTAAAGAAATCTGTAGATGATGATGCAATTGCTATGTCAGTTTTTCATGCTGTAACTAGCTTGAAATGTTGAAGAATTTGTCTGATTTTTAAAGACGAATATGATGCATGGTGGGTATTTATGAATCATGGTTCAGTATCATATGGAAGAAAAAGCAGCATTTCTACTTTAAACATATTTTTTATATTGGAGCTGTCAAGTTATTTAAAAAAAGTGAATGAATTAATTGCCGGTTTGATGGTTCATTAACTGCAATTAAACAATCATATTAATAAATAAGCATTGCATTGCATTGGTGGACATACTGCTTAACCATACACCTAAAAGACAGTCACTAACTTTAGCATTTTAATTGTACTCTGTCTTTAACCTTATCGAGTGTTATTATCAAATCCCAAATGCAAGAAACTGTTTGTTTTTGAGTAGGGGTGTCCCATACAACTATTTGGCTTCCAATACGATATTGATATTGCAGCCTTCGATATTAACCGATACCGATATTGATCCGATATTGGCACAAAATTGTGCATGACAAGTTTTTCACTCAGCTACAATGTCTCTTTTGGACTTAAACAAAAAATACTGCCTCAAGTCCAACATCATTCCTACTCCCTGCTACTTTGTTAGTACCTTAGTACACACTGTTGTTGTGATTACATGGGCTCTGCATGCTGGATCAGGGCACTGCTAAATAGAAGTGCTGGAGCGGAGTCTGGAATGGACTGCTTGTATCGGAGTGCTGATATCGGAAATTTCAGATGCAGGCTGGTATCCGATATTCGTTTTTTTTTTGTTGCTGATATTGGACTGATATCCAAAAAGAGTGTCCAAGTAGGTGTCCAAGAAGAAACGGGTCCACAACATACAGTTATTGTGCGACCGTGAAGCCCACCCTTACAATTTTTTTATGCGCTATTTTTTAATCAAAGTTTGTAAAGCAAAACTTACACATTGATATGACGGGCGTAGTTTTAATGAATCTTTTTCGTTGTTTTTTATGCGATTTGTTGGACAGAAGTATACCAGCCATGTCTCCGTAGTCGGATGAAATCTGGTAGCTTGAAAAAATGTTACTTTACTGCTGCTCATCCATCATGATGACTGGCAGCTGTTGTGCTGACTAAGTGATAGGACTGTAAATATGATGAATATTGCATTACAGACAAAATAAAAGACTGCAGCTGGAAGTTTATATCTTTGACGGATGTTACATGCGGGGTAAGTATGAAGTCTTCCGGTAAGCTACATCAACAGCAGTCCATCTAAATCCATCATGAGCGTGTTTCTCCGTGCCGCTGCTGTGTGTCAAATGAAGGCAGGGCTGCAGGACTGCAGACTCATCACCATAACACAGTCAGTCTGCTAAGTGAAAAGCGAGAAGGAGTTTTTCCCCTCACCCTGTCTGATGCATCCACAATATTACCAGGAGTAGCAGCTGGAAGCCTCATAAATCATTGCGGGGCCTACGGGACAAAGGGGATCACATGGCACCAGGGCGCAGCGGATGCTAAAGGGGTTCAACTTTAGTAACGATAAGAGCTTCCATTCAGAGAGCAGGGTTGTGGGAAGTAGATTATCAGTACAAGGGAGGTCAGGGGATGGGAGTATAATTAATACTGTATGAGTTAAACCTATGACATGCTTCTCCTGCTACCAACAGCTATCTGATTAAAGTAGAAAGGATGGAGAAGAGAATGTGGGTGGAGAGCAAAGCACTGTGGGTGGGTGGGGATGGGGGTGGGCGGGAGATCCCAGCTCAAAGCGAGGAAACGCTTCTCTCTCCTTTTCCAGTGCTCAGTATTGCTCTGTCTCTTCTTATTAGAAAGCTAATGCAACTGTCTGTTCTAATACTGCCGAGCAGCTTTTATTCTTTTTTTCTCTCCTTTGCAACCTTTTTCTATTCCGCGCAGCTCTAATCTGTGCAGTGGCAGCAGATAATAAGACGGGGCACATTCGCTTACTCTCCCCGCTTCCTTACAGGCTTTTGTCTTGGCGCGAGCCGTACAGTCGTTTGTTTCAACAACTTTGCAGCATAAAATCAGAGAGAAAACTTTTGCAGGTGAATTTTTCTGTGCGGCCAACCCGTGATTCTTCAGAGGTTTTCTGTTGATATTGCCCTCCAAAAAAACCTGAAAGACAGCACAGACTTCTTTGTTTTACGCTCAAAGAAGTTCCAGTTTTGAGGCCTTTGAAGTGCACAAAGTGTTGGAGCTTACAGAGGAATTGTTCTTGGGGAGAGGGGATGAATTTGAGAGTGAATTTAAATCTCAGGCTTAACTTTTACTGGCACTTGCATTGTAAAGATCAAACATGCCTTACTGGACCTTGAATGCCAACTAAGAACCCCCAGGCCAGAGAGAGAGAGAAAAAGGGATTCATAAGGACTTGTCTGTAGATAATTCTGATGTAACTCCCCTTCTTGTTCAATGGAGCTGCAGAGCAGTGAGAAAAAGGACAATTAGCTCTATGATAAATTCACATTCTTTGCAACTTCTAACTTGCTCTTTGAAAGAACAGAAGTCTAGTATCTAAAATGTGAACCTCGGTTTCTCTTTGGCACTCAGTTTGCGGCTGCATGTTGAAGCACAGGCAATTATAGGCGACAAATAAGGAATTAAGACTCTGAATATGGGAAAATGTGAGTGATGTGCAGACGTAAGGGAGTTCACGGAGGCTAATTCACTGAGAAAATGTCCTCTGTGGAAGTGTTCGGGGAACATAACGGTGTTTCATTGTTAAATGTAGAAGACATGAAGCACACTGCACAGCTCGGCAGCAACGCAGACAGGCAGAGAGAATGATCCTGATTGAGTTTAATGCCTGTTGATATTGCCTGGTCTGCGAAAAGGAATCGGGTTTTACAGCTATCTGAACAATGTGAAACTCTTCCACATGAATGTACTGATTGTTTCTCCTCGTGTAATTGGTTATTATGTGCAGTATTTTGTTGTTTTTCTGTCAATTCAGCATGGTGGCCGGCTTCTATAAATCTGCTTATTTCCAGCTCTAGCTTTCTTGTCCCACTTTCTGCATGACAGTCAGGCTTACTTTCCTCCAAAATGTGTTGAGTTTCTACTTTTCCTCCAGCTGTTAACAAAAGCGCAGCGGAAAAAAGAAAGTACACCCCTTAAATTAGGCAAAACATTTCACTTTTTTTGTTCAACACCGGTAGAAGTCCAACATGAACTGTAGGTGTAAGGAAAAAATTACTTTTCACACATTTGCCAAATGCTGGAGTCCTTTCAGGATTTGACAAACGTGTGAAAAGTTCCTGGATCGTTCATGAAACGTTGGGTGGAGCTCAAAGTTTGGTAAATGGGGAAACATTTCACACCTCTGTTAAATCCTGGAGAACGGATGAAACGCTTACAGAAACATTTTTAGACATCAGCTAAATGTTAAAAGTGAGACTCTTGTGGATAATAGGAAACTTATTATTGATTGTTGAATTTATTACCATTAATTGACCTTTAGAACAAAAAAAGTATGACAGGTATTAAAATTAATAGTCTATAACATGAGACAAAAGCACTAGGAGATAAGGTGATTGCTTCTGACTTCAATTAACTCAGTTTTTTCTGACTTGATGCCAAGTTTTCAGCATGCACATTGGTTTTTATCAACTTTTTTCCAACAAATTCCTGTCCATCTGCCCATAAAAAACATGTTTTTTTGGGGAGTTGATACTTTGAGCAAATATCCCCTAAAACAAATCTTAAAATACAACCGAATTGTAACAGGATTTTCAGCATCGTTCACTTCTCATAATCCAACAAACCGGAGAGAAGATGTGAACCACATGGGACACAAATATTGACCAAGTGTTTCTCACGGCCAAAAATAGGTCATGATTTTCCTGCAGCATATTGACCCATTTTCATCTTATTTGGTTTGTAGTTGTAAATAGAAGCTGAACAAAAATGATCCCTTACAGCATTTTCTGTCGAAAACTATGAAATTTGGTTGTCATACTGTATGTATCTTGTCCACACAAACAAAGAAGCAGCAAGGCTAAGAGGAAGTCCACTATTTTTAATGGCTAGAATATCCTGCAGAATGAGACATTTGCAGGACTCTTAGGAATCTTGGTGCTAATGGTCCAAGTCAGGGGTGAACCCAGTCAACTTCCACTTTGGTTAAAAGCCTCCATTCATCTTACAACCAAAACTAAAATGGTGTCACTCTGGCGCCTTGCTTAAATTCGATGTCTGGCCTGAACACTGAGGCTTGAAAGTAGCTCAGAATGACAGTCATCCTCTCTCAACATGTTCACGTCAGTTGTTACTGAATTACCACTTTGTGCTCTCACTTTATGATGTGCAAAATACATGACAATTAAGAGCCATTATCACTTACTGATGGTGCGGCAACAACACAGTGTTGTATCACACTGCAACATGCACCGAAATCCCAACGCACACAGTTATGTTCCTCTTGCAGCCCCACTTTCATTTGACATCAAGCTTATTCAAATTGATCAATCAAAGACAGATCATTCATGATAATTTGATGTCGGTGTAATTAAAATGATAAAAACTCAAACAAATGAGAAACTCTGGAACATCATTTGGAAGTACCAAAAACTGAAGTTAAAAGTTTTTATCTCGATTGGATCAGTCAGTGTAAGAAATATTTCTACGCACTGTCCCCAGATGATCACTGGTTGAAAAAAAATACATATCAAAACAGAAATGGGTTATCTGTCAGTGGAAACCATTCATCCATCCATTTTCTACCGCTTATTCCCGTTCCCGGGGTCGCGGGGGGGCTGGAGCCTATCCCAGCATCTTCTGCTTGTAAAATAAATCCAGTGTGGAAGTGGAAGATGCTGCAGTTTCTCGAGGGTCCTCTTGAGGCTGGCTGCAAAACCAAGTCCCCGCTGGGTTTACTGTGAAAGTGCCCTTTTTACAGCCGAATTAAACATGTCTACACTGCAGCCAGGCTGACAAACAGTTGTTGGGTGAATTTTCAAAACTAGGTCCAAGTTTAGACTGTCTATGGTTATCTGTAGATGTCAGGTGGTTGGTCTCTCTTCGGTGACGTATTTATAAGTCTGTTAGTGGGAAAAGTTGACATGTACAGCTGTTTAGACCGTGGCTTCCTTGGGGGGGCAGAGATTACTGGCCAAATGTGTTGGATTGCAGCTGACAAAGGAAATGTTGTATCAGTGCACATATTATAGAAACGCACATTATGAAGCATCTAGGGCCTACTTGCTACACGTCTATCATCAGGGTGGGCTGTGAGACATGATAATGAAAAGATAAATTTTCTAAAATTTCCCAGGCGTCACTTGATGTTGGTGTCCAGCCGAGACACTAAAACTGTGATGTCTTGTTTTGCGGGACATTTCGGGGCCATGTGATGCTCATAAAGAAAGCGGTTTGCTGGAGTGGATACCCCAGTGTGTCGTTTAGGACTCATCAGGCCCTCTCCTGCCCTGGTGGCATGATTAAACTTTCAGGGAGTCATCAGATTTGCCGTCACTTGGAGATTAAGCTGATCTCAGACAATCCCTCAAGCAGAGGCAACCCTCCACCATTGTAATTTTATGCTAATAGAGCCATATCTCTCACAATGTAGAGGGCAGCAATTCTGAATCTTTCACTCTCTCTTTTTCAAAATCACTGCCTCTATTTCTTCCTCTTTGTCCTCTCTCTCCCTCCACCGCCCCCCTCTTCCAGACTTCGCTCCAGTTAAAGAGATTCTAGACACACATTCGCTTCAAATTAATCTTATCCTGTGAGTGTGTGTGCGCGATTGTGCGGCTGTGAAACGCTGTCACAACCTTTTGTAAACACATTATGGAGGATAAACTGTACAGTTTTAAAGGATCACAGAAAAGACTGTTAGGCATTGTTCCTCATCTCCTCATATCTGTTTGTTCCCTTGAATGTAAGCTTATGCTGTCTGCAGTTTCACTCCATTCAGAAGCAGCTTTTTACCCTCAAAGTGCATCTTTAAGTGTCTGTAGGTGTCAAGTCAACCAAACTGACAGAAAGAGAAAATATTTTACTGGAAATACTAACATTTATGCTTTCGAAGACGTAGGCATGGCAGCTACAGATAAACAGCTGATGTTTATGTTGCTCTTTGGTTTAGTGGTTTCTTACCGAGGACGAACAAGCTTCGAAATATTATTTTCAGAAAGGGATTCAGATTATAATCAGATTAAGAAACATGAGTTTGGATCGCTTTATCAAAGTTTTGCAATTCAGTCCCTTACCCTCATAGTCCATATGTGGAAATGTCTGTGGGCAATAGTGTTGTCGTTCGCGAACAAATCGTTCAAAGAACCGAATCTTTTAAGTGAAAGTACTGAACCAAATCACTTCCTCAAGTGAATCGTTCGTTTCTCACTTCAGTTAAGCTGTTAGAAGTGCAGCTGCTATAGCATGCAGCATTGCCAGGCGAGCAGCCGGCGAACGAGGGACCGCATGCACTGATGCCTGAATCACTTGATGAACAAATCACGCTTTGAACTACATTCTCTAGAATCATTTTTGTGGGACAAAACTACCTTTTTTTTTTTTTACTGCTAAATTGCCACCACAACAACTTGCATACAGTCAGACACAGCATGTAACAAGTAGTGCATTAAACCTCAATATACTGAGCAGACCTGATAAATAGCATACCATAGGACAGTACACTTAAAACATCATGACTTATAAACAAGTTCATTTTACAAACCTATTTGTCAAAGCAACACAGCCAAACACTCTCGTCTCCCGGTCCCAGAAGCTCTGTATTGAACTGAATCCTGAACCGTTCAGCTGTGTATCAGCTCAGGAGGTCGGAGTCACAGGCTCCTCATCATCATTTTAGTGAACTAATTCCATGACTCAGTACATCTAAAAGAACGGCCGTGCCCATCACTGGTGGGAAAGACACTGAACCGAGTTGTAGCACTTGGCAATAAACCGAAAATTTACAGATACTGAAATTAACGACAATAACAGACGTCATTTTGCCCATGTCAGTATATCCGGTGTCAAATGAAGAAATAAATAAAAGTTGACTTTGGATTTGTGTCTCATGGCAGGCTATGGTCTCTCATACATCAGAGACGTGACTCCACCCCATCCAGTCCGTAACAAAGAGGGAAAGACAGGTGAGGCGATGGAGGACGGTTTAAAAGTTGTAGTGGCTGGAGTGGCGGCTGAAGTAGAGAAAGTTAATATGACGGGGTGGGTAGCTTGTGGAGTAGTTATCGTCCATTAATCTTTAGGTGAACTGCTCAATATATCGTGATATTGATTTAAAGCCATATTGCCCAGCCCTACTGAGTTTTATCTGAAGGTTTCGCCACTGTCCTGTGAATGTCTAGATGAGATTACAGGAAACTGTGTACATGAGTGTAGCGAAGAAGCGCTCTAAGTCGTCAGAGGACTCGATAAAGATCGTTCAGAAGAATTGTGTTAACCATTTATCCCTTAATAAATGAAAACTGCATCTCAAACTCCCAGCTGTAGGTGGTGTTTGTGTTTCCAAAGCCTAACCAGAGTGATGATTGCACACCGAACCAGGGGTGAAAATATAAAACTATAAAAAAATCCCACAAATATTTGAATGTATATTGATTTACTGTATACGTGTCATTGTATCTGTATTGTATAGAAAATTACAGTATAAGTCTTAACTAGTTCTTTGTCTTGCACATCTGGACCTGCGTTCATGCCTGTTGGACTGCGTTAAGTCTCTCAGCTGGAAAGAGGCCAATGATAAAACCTCTTCTCATGCAACACATTGCCTGACAGGGAGTCAAAACACAGCACAACAAGAGGCAGTTCCTGTTTTTCTCACAAAGGAGGTCTCCCATGTGTGTTTTTTTCCACAACAGATGTCTATTTCTGTCTCCTTCTTTGCACACATGTCCTTAAATCAAATGCTCCTCCATGCTGTCACCATTTGTATCTTTTCTTCCAAAAACAACCCACGATCAACCATTTAGCGTTACTGTAATGGTGTCATTACTGTTGGAATGACAGATGATCGAATAACAGTGACAGATGAGGACTGGCGCAGCTTGGGGGCGAAAGTGATGGTTGATATGTTTCGAGTTCGCTCCGAACCACCTGTAGCACGAGCCAGATGGTGGAGTTTAAAGACAGAGTGTGTGTGGGGAGGGACGTCTCACTGATTATGTCCCCACTCACTCGAGGGTGCATCTGGTGTATAAAGAGTCTGTTCATGCTGCCTCTCAGTGAGCGGCAAACACTACATTTCCTTTTTCCTTTCTGGAATGTTTAATGTGAAGCACTCTGTTTGTGCCATGAATTAGACATAATGAGGCTGTTGACAGAGATGTCATGCAGCAGACAAGTAGAACAGATTTGTTAAACAGACACTAAACTACCTCATATTCAGACCTGAATAACTTCCTTGTTTGTTTTATTGATAGATAAAAGTTTGTCTATGTTTTTGTAAGTAATACTTAATTAACAGGTAACCTTACCTGAACCTTTACTGGAGTCAAGACTTTTCTCTTCTTCAAGTTGCTGAATCTTGATCAATGTCCATTTTCTAAACTTTGAATAATATAAAATCTCTACAGCAGACTGAGAGAACAGAAATCTTTTTTCCTTGAGCTGATGAAAATGAATAGCAGCCTTTATAAATGAGACTCACTGTAGATTTAATTCAAGCGCAGGTCAAAAAGAGAAGTCGGGTTGCGATAGATGAATAGTATTTTTTTGAAGTCAAAGAGCAACTTTAATGATCTTATAATATATTTTACCAATAGGTGAAATATCTGTGTGGAACAAAAAGATAGTCATCCGTCTACTGATGGAGGAAATACTGAAGCTTTACTATAAAAAATAGTTTTAACCTTCTATGTCTTTACTCATATATCAGTCTCTATTACCTTGTTACAATTCATTTAGCAGGTACTTCTTTTTAAAGCCATTAACCCTCCTGTAAAAATGGCCATCTTCACATCTCTATTAGGGCCCGATGCCGATACCGATTATTAGGGGGGAAAAAACATCAGATTAGTCCGCCAATTTATCTGCCAATTTTTTATGGTTCCCTTCGCGTCATATCTCACGTTACTCATTTCCAGTCCGGTCTCATCTGGAGACATACAGCTGCCTCAGTAAGAGAAGTAGCTCGACCACGTAATGTTTACTGTTGTTTATTCTACCGTTACTGGCACGGCTAACAGTGTAGCAAGGCTAATAGCAGATGGCTAACTCTAACTTTAGCTTGCATATTACATGGTGCTTCACTGTTAACTCGGCGTGACCGAGACCAGCCCAGTGGGGAACATCGTGAAGTGGGTTGAACTGAAACTTGTTGACTTATTGTGTATTTTACAAACTAGTTTATTTACCGTTGAGGCGGACCACTCTCCTCCGTGCGACCCTGAGCTGCCTGCTTCAGATATGTCACTCTGCTGTGCTGTGAGGTAGTTAGTGGATGAAGATTGTCATGAGGTCACTGTGCCATTTACTGGATGAGTCAGGGGGAACTTTTCAAATGGCGGAACATTGTCGAAGTGAAACCGAATTTTATTCTCCGCATTTTATTTCTGAAAATATCGGGGAAAATCAGCGAGTTTTGGCCGATTATCGATTAGTCTCAAATGGGCTAAAATCTCTAATCTCTATTTCTCTCTTGCTGTGGCAACCCAAAATTTGGTTAACCCTCCTCCTGTATTAGGGTCTGCACCGACCCGTTTTTGATTTTAAATACTTAAAAGAACCACTTAAATGAGGTTTTATGCATCAACACTTTTTGACTTTGTCAGGAGCCTCTATTTCAACAACATAAAAATAACTAAATTGACTAAATTATAAAATGCTCTTATTAAAATGATGGCACTTGTTGTGTTAAGGTCGCTGTTGACTCGGTTAGATCAACATCTAATAATTAAAGCAAAAGCTGAAAACATAAGTGCACTGTCAGGCACCACACTGACAGTCAGATCCTCTTCCAATCATATGAGATTTAGTATAGATGCCTGTGTGAGGGGTATACGGACAAAGGACAGGACTACAGGACTACAAAAACTGTTATAATCAATATTTTTATGGATAATGAAGCCTAACAAGGTAACCTAGAGATAAGAACAAAATTGGATGATAGAGAAATGTTTTTAGTGTGATTTACAGCTGATTTAAGACATGAGTCAAAAATGACCCTTAACATGATGGGTGCGTATTAAAAGCTAACACAGGAGGAAGGTTACGTTTGCATTTCCAATTTGGCAGCTGCTGTTCTTTGGCCCTTGAATTCCAATGAAACTCCTTCTATGTTTGATATTGTAATAGATGCGACAAAATGCATTAGCTTTTGTGCCATACCATTTTTAAAATACAAGGAAAATATTGATTTTGTTATTGGAAATGATCTTGTGTGTTTAAGTAAGAAAAGATTCTTGCAGAATTATGACGCTGAAAATAAGATTTCCATGCAAATTGGTCTCAACACCGCTTCATATCACTACCGCATGACTCCTACACTCTAATGATATGAACGAGGACAACGTGAACAGAAATTAATTGGCTAAGGAAGAAGCTGTCAGTGAAATAATAGCAGAAGAAAACAGCAGGACGGTGCCGGACAGCGCGGAAAAGAAAAGAGATGTGCTCGCCACCTTTGAAACCAGAGCAAAGAAAGAAAGTATTCTCGCTCTTTGTGCTGAGACTAAATGTGGAAGATGCACTCAAGTCTCCAGAGAGACTTGCACTCACCTTGATGAGTGGACCACAGGTGCCATGAAGTCTTTCGTGACATTTACCGCCCGATTCACTGACAGCAAGTGGGAAAATGCATTCCTGAAGAAGTGCGATGCACGAGACACACGTGCTCGCATAGTCGAGGTTTCAATGAAGGCTGAAGAGAGGAAGTGGACTGCAAAGACTCGACTGTTAGCACTGACACTACAATCAATGCTGCAGCTGTTACAGGCTCAGGCCGACGTAAAACAAGTTTCTGTGAAGTTTTAGAAAGAGAAGAGAGCAGGCACATATGCACCAGTTGATTATGACCCTAAAGCATTACAGCATGTATCTATGAATTGAGCTTTCCCTCGGCCAAATGCCAACTAATTCTGTGCCTAACTAAAAGCATTGAAAGAGACCTATCATGTTAATATATATTCTAATACATGTTATGTTATAATATTGGAAAAGTTTCAAAAGGCCGGCCAAGTCCAGTTTCCCTATCAGGACAATGTTGGAGGAGCTCTTAGATTTTTCCTTTGCTGCACTTTGTCGATTCAACATGTCTGAGAAAGTTGCTTTGTCAGTTTTTTTTTTTTTTGTCTCCGTGAAGGGAAGCCAATTTTTTTGGAAAACAAAAAGGAAGTTAGAGGAAAGTCTTCCGCAAAACAAAAGCCACATTATAGCTGTTTGTGCTAACTGTTTAACCTAAGACTCTTTGTAAACAGAGACCAGTATGAGCTGGGTTTGCATCTCGACTAACAGATCTCCAATAAGACTGCTTTAAAAAGCGTTACTTTGGCTCCTCTGCTGGTGTGTCCCTACCTATTGGTCTGTTTTCTTTGCTTCTCCTAATGGCCCGCCCACAACACTATCTGATTGGCCAGATGTCACACAACAGTGTGATAGGACTGTCCTGTAAGTGTAACTTGTTACCTGTTCCCTCTTGTATATATATATTTTTTCCAGAAACGGTTTATTTAGGGTTATGTAACATTGATATTTAAGGTGAACAGCTCTTTTAAAGGTTTGTACAAGTTTCAATCTTTGGGTATGTTTGTTTTAAAGATAAAGAAATCTCTGTAGGTTAA